ATGACTGAAGCGACTTAGCACAGGGCCTGTGCTAGGTGAGAAATTCAGCCTGGGCGCTGACAGTGGCTTTGCTCACTTTAACTGGCTCTAGAAGCCAAAGGTGGAGGATTGAGGGGAGAGGGCAGAGGGTGGTGGAGTGGCAGTACGGTCATCATCCAGGAACAATGTGAGGTTTCCCCCAAAGCATTGCTGAGCCCCCACCATCTATGAAGCTCCATGCCTTACTTCAGTGCTCACTGCAGGCCCTGTGTGCTCCCCACCTGGAGGTAAGTAATGAGCCTGGGATTCCTCTGCAAACTCTTATCTTCAGGTGTCTCCAGAATGGAGATAGGAGCTGATTCAGGTTTATGGGGCCTGAAACTTGTACATTTGAGACCCTCTTTAAGAAAAATGAGACAGAAATATCTTTAACAGATTTTATGTACCATCAGAACACACTGCTAGGGCTCATCCCAGGGTCTTGGAACAGGGACCTGAGGAGCTTCAAACTGAAGCTTCTTTAACTTTACAAGTGAATCCACTTCTACTTCTAAAGCATCACCAGCCTTCTTCCTGCCCAGTGCCAAAAAGTCACGTACTAGGGGAGAGTAAAGATGATGGAGGAAAAGGCTTTGTCACATAGTAGGTGTAACTGACTAAGACAGAAATTCTGGCTCTTATTTGATTGGCCTTTGAACCATCTGTGCTGCAAGGGCTTAGTGAACCTTGGCCCAAAGTCAAGTTCTCTCTCTGAAACTGCAAGCCGCCTTAAGGGCAGGGTGCGCAGCTTGGTCACCATTCATTCGAACACTTACCTTAGGGAGCCTGTAAGGAAACGTCTGTGGAATGCATAGCTGGGTGATGACAGAGGGACTGTGTAAATAAATTCACACTCCCTGGGTTGGGGAGATCCCCTGGAGAAAGAAATGGCAACCCACTCCAGTATTCTTGCCTGGAGAATCCTATGGATGGAGGAACCTGGTAGACTACAGTCCACGGGGTTGCAAACAGTCGGACACAACTGAGTGACTTCACTTTCACTTTCACCCATTTTAGATAGAGCATCATTGTCACTTACTTTCTTCTAAGGACTCTGAAAAATGTTTTGAGCTGTGTAAATAGACGCTCCATCTTCATTTCATAGTGAGGCAAGGACAACTAGGTCCCACCCACGAGCTTCAAAGTTTCCTTCTCACTGGATGATCAAAACCCCTCTGGACATAATTAAGAACATTAAACTACATTATAATGCAAATATCATTTTAGGGGGTCAGTTGTTTTTTCTGATTTCAGCAGCTGTGGTGATCACATACCAAGAAAAAGCTAGACTGTGTGTTATTTGATCTGCTTTTTAACCTCCTCCTCTGGCTTACATTACCTTAAGTTTACTTTTTAAATTCTTTATTTCCCGGCAAATACATTGAAAACTTTAGGTCCCGAGTGAGGTGTGGAATATGAGGTATGGAATATCAGGATTCATGCAGAAGATCAAAGCCTAGTCTGGAGCATTCTCTTTTGAAGAAAACTATTACCCTCCACATGATGAGCTCCCTTGACCCTTCCTACATTCTGATGGGGATCAGTGGGTGCAATATAGAACTGAGACTATGACTGGGGGAAGGGTGTCGCCCACATGTGTGGCTTACTGTGAACTGGATGCTGGAGTTTGCCTGGGCTAGGAAGGGCACGGCTTTGATTTAACTTCTGTTCTCATGACCTTGAGGGTAAATCTGAAGTCCTGTCAAGGCAGATGTGAAGGATATAAACTCAAAGTCCAGAGGCCCAGGTTTAAGTCTCAATTTCATCTCTTAACTAGTTGTCAGGTTGTGAGCAAGATACTCCAAAGTTCTCCATGTCTTTCTTTCCTTCTCTTTTTTAATCCACAGAAAGAGGATTAATAATAATCCTAATAATGCCTAGCCTATCTTTCCCTGGAGATGAGTCTCAAAACACCCACAAAATGTCTTAGAAAGGTACAGAATGATTTTAGAGTTGACCATCTATGATTCAATTACATAACCATGTAACATAGCAATTTCCTCCTTTTAAAGCTAAGAAGACAGCTTTTTAGTGGAAAAGTCAATGTTCTTAATAATAGGAACAGGCAGATGGGTATTCCCTTAATTAAACTATTAATGCCAATCCCATTAATGTAATGGAGTTATAGTTTTCTTTCTATAGGATGAAGGTGTTTTAGAATAAGGCCAGGTTGTAAATGTTTTAGGTTTTAGGTTTTGTAAATCATATAGTTTCTACTGCAACATTCAGTTCTGCCCTTGTAGCATAAAGATGGGGCTTCCCTGGTGGTGCTAGTGGTAAAGGACCTGCCTGCCAATGCAGGAGACATAAAAGATGTGGGTTGGATCTCTGTGTCAGGAAGATTCCCTGGAGGAGGGCATGGCAACCCACTCCAGTACTCTTGCCTGGAGAGTCCTATGGACAGAGGAGTCCGGTGGACTACAGCCCATGGGGTCGCAGAGTCCAACACGACTGAAGCGACTTTGCACAGCATGCACAGCATAAAGGCAGCACAGGCAGTATTAAAAAGAGAAGTAGAGCTATGTTCCAGCTTCATTTACAAAATTCATGTGGGCTAGATTTGGTTCAAAGGCCCTAGTTCGCTGACTCCCCACTTTAGAATATCATAAAGGTATCACCAAGTTCTGTACATACCATACTGCTGGCCTCGGATTTTAATGCAGCTCCAATTTGACAGCTAAGCAAACACAGAAGATGCCAAATCCAGAAAACCAGCAAGCCACGAGGTTATTCGGGCAGACATTTCACATCCCAAGATAGCTATTTAAACCTTGCACTTTTCTCAAAATCTTCTTTGTAAAATAAAGCATTTTTTAAAATATAATATCCCAGTTTTAAAAATAAACCACAATTCTCCAGAGTGAAGCTACTGATATTTTGATGGAAAAGAAGGAACAGTGCTTCCCAACTCCACGAAATGCTTTACAAAAATGCACCTCAGTGCCAACTTCTTTATGTGATCCAATCTGTGTTTTGCTGTCCCATTATAAGAGTTAATCATTACCAAAGTTCACCACTGCTTTAAATTAAAGATCACCTATTGGTACAACTTACATTATGACTCTCTCTCGGGCAGGCCACACCAGCATATCTGGAAATGTAGGGAAGCACTGTCAGAGGCCTACAGGAGAACATTTTAAAACTCTGGATCTCCATTTGCCTGCACTTGATTAAATGACTCATTGTCAACCTGGGAGCTGCTACCCTTTACTGTGTGGAACAGGAGGAGGGAAGTGAAGGTGAAACGAGACTTTTATTCCTAGTTGTTGTTGTTCAGTCACTAAGTTGTGTCCGACTCTTTTTAACCCCATGGACCGTAGCCCACCAAGCTCCTCTGTCCATGGGATTTTCCAGGCAAGAATACTGGAGCAAGTTGCCACTTCCCTTTCTAGGAGATCTTCCTGACCCACAGATTGAACCTGTGTCTCCTGAATTGCAAGCAGATTTCTTTACTGCCGAGCCACTGCAGAAGTCCTTATTCCTACTTCTAAAAATGTTGATTTGTTGGGGTTTGAGGAGAAGTTTCACAGACCTTGGCTTAGGAATAATTTCATCCTCAGACAAGTTACTTAACCTTTTTGAGATTCTGAACCTCATTTTTTTCCATCTAGAAAATGGATTAATATCTGCTTCATAGGATTAATTTGGGCTTCCCTTGTGGTTCAGCTGGTAAAGAATCTGTCCGCAATGCGGACAACCTGGGTTCAATCCCTGGGTTGAGAAAATGCCCTGGAGAAGGTAAAGGCTACCCACTCCAGTATTCTGGCCTGGAGAATTCCATGGACTGTATAGTCCACAAGGTTGCAAAGAGTCGGACACAACTGAGCGACTTTAACTTTCACTTCACTAGGATTGATTTATAATGAGAGGCAAATAGCAGATATTCAGTAAATGATAGTTTTTCTCACTTTTTCCATATCCTCCTGTATACCCTGAATTTTGTTTGCTCTATCGTGAAGCTTTGTTTTACTCTCATGTATCTTCCAGTGAACTGCCTCTGACTGTAATATAAGTGTACAAGTACATAGAAGTCATGTAAGGGGAAAAGTCTCCAAATAAGAAAAGGCTGATGGTATGAAAATTAATTGAACATAAAGAAACACAGTCACCAGAGCAGTTCAGGGTCAACAAATTCATTTTGTTTGTTTTCTTTGGGAAAAAGGGGCCTTCAGGTATGGTTTGATAGTAGAGACTGTTGGTTTCATCCACCTGTGTGTAGGACGGCTCCTGGTATTTGGTGGAAATGCAATTAACACTTTTCTCAACGAATAACTGATCATACTTAGATGTGATTTACTTCTGTATTAGCCATGAAAACTTCCTGGAGCTTTGCCTAGGGAAGGAGCAAGGCTTCTAAGGAGAAGGAGTCATAACATCGGACAGAAATGGCGCCACTTACACACTATTTATCTGTAAGTCTGCATTTTGTGAAACAATTATGTAAATTCCTCCAACTGAAAATTGATCTGAAATAGGTCAGAAAAGGGCTTCCTTGGTGGCTCAGTTAAGGAATCCGCCTGCAATGAGGGGGAGCTGGGTTTAATCCCTGGGTTGGGAAGATTCCCTGGAGGAGGGCATGGCAACCCACTCCAGTATTCTTGCTTGGAGAATCCCCATGGATAGAGGAGCCTGGTGGGCTGTGGTCTATGTGGTCCCAAAGAGTCGGACACAACTGAGAGACTAAGCACAGGTCAGGGAATAGTTCAGTGGCTATTCTAGGCCAGATTCTGGCCAGTTTCTGGAAGATATTGAAACTCGTGGCCATCTTAACAGGATTCTCTTTAATTTCATTTTCTTTCTGGAAAGAAATGCCACTGTTGCACAAAATGTATGGATAGCAGAATGAAAGTAGGTACAATGGGATAAAGAGAAGTTATGCTTCCCCAAGAAGTCTCTAAGTATAATACGTGTACATGGTTTTCCAAGTACAAGGAAAAAGTATGAGAGAAGAGTTGCACGAACACACAACAAAATTCACATACCTGAAAACATCATCATGTGCTGAAAGTTCCAGGGGATCTTGTGTTTCCGGCCTAGATTCAGGAGGAAGGAGAGGGGATATATGTTGCAGGCTCTGGCCACAAAAATTGCTACCTGTGGATAAGCGCAGGGAAACATTGAGGAAAATGTTGCTGCAATAAATGTGATAGTCCTTGGGCTTTAAATATTACGTCCTTAAGCTTCTCTATATTATGACCCAGAAAACAGGAATAAACATGTCGATACATGTATGTCCAAACTGCTTCCAAAATTCATTTTTCAATGTCATTTGCTTTCTAGAAATAATAGAGGACTCTGTCTTCTTTGAACATATACTCGGTTTAAAATTGTTAACCCAATACCACTTCAATCACCGTAAATTTTCTCATCACATTTATGTGGCTGATAACTGACTCTACGCTCAATTCCACTGCAAAATGTGAGGCAGAGACCGTTCCAAGGCTGTGCCATTATCCTCTCAAGCAGCACTTGAGAAACGATAAATGTGCTTTGGCTCACGATAATCATCTTACTTTCCATCAGTTTATACTCTCTAAATCTAGCAAGCTTCACTTATTTTTTTTCTTTTAGTGAATTTAATTTTGAGAGGAATTGCCTGTCTAAATGTATAAAACAACTTCTGCTTTAAGAGGTATTTCACTAAAATCCAAGCTATACAGGTTAAAAAATCTATGAAAATACTGGTGGTAGTCATCTCTCCCCTTTTGACATCTTGGACATCTTCCTTGATTGTCTATGCTAGTTTGTCCTCAAATGGGAGGAGTTATTTGGGAAAGAGGGAGCATCCTTCTAACATTTGGATGGAATTTGAAAATTCACTTCTCCGCTTAGTGAAAAGAGAGAAAGTGGCCAGGGCTGGTGCCTCACTGGACCAGGGCTTCCAGAGAGGAGTTGGCTCTCTTGGCTGTTAGGATCATCTACTTGTGGTCCCAGAGGGCATCTGTCCATTTTCCAACCAGGAACAAGGATAACAGCTGCTGACTATCCCTGGGAATATCCACAGTGGCTCAGTAGCTTTTCTGATAGATATCCATTCCCTCTGGGAATGCTTAGACCCCAGACCTAGAGCAAGAAAAGCCCCCTGCATTAAAAGTGAGGTCTAGACTTTACCTGTTCTTTTATGTACAGGAAAGAGGCTGTCTTATTAAACTTACATGTGCACAATGCTTAAGATAGTGAAAGCACATCCATCATGGTAATTTGACTTGATCTTTACTCTGTCTATCCTTTTTACAAAGTCTCACTGGAAAAAAGATTTTACCATCTTGTAGTGAAAGTATTTCTAAAGTTCTAAGGCCTGGCTGTCTTCTGATACGTTCTAATGCAGATTAAACATAAAAAATGGATTGACATAATTTTCATAATTTTAGTTAAACATATTTTGGATATTCAAAAAATGTCTTTTTTTTCAGCTTTTTCCCTTTATTTCCCTCAGCAATTTCCAAACTTTATGTCTTGAACCATAGACATTTAATAAAGGTCCCAATATTTCTTAGGATGCTTTTCTCCCCTAACTCAAATTACTCACATGCTTTGAATTTGAACTTTGCAGTAAATCTGAGGAAAATGAACAATCTAAAAGAATAACTCCTAAAGTTAAGTAGTTTGTTTTCTTCTCTCATCACCTTGTGTTCTGTATTTCAAAGGATACAAAGGCTCCAAGTATGAAAAGAGCATTGAAGATATGATTCTGGAACGTGAACAGTGCCAGGCCCATGTAACAGAAGATAACGTTCTCAGCCAAGAAATTCATAAATTCAAACAACTGGAAACAAAATAGAGAACAAAAGCCATGAATTATGACTCAGCTTTGAGTCCATTTAATTTCATGTGGCTGTGTTTGGTGACTGGATGGTCCTCCTGTATCTGGGAAGGCCATCCTGAGGCTCAGCCGCTGGAGAGGCACAGGGGACCTGCCTATACTTGTCAGGCCAGCTGACTCTACCCTGGCTCTCTGCCCAGGGACAGATGCCACATCCATGTCAACATCTCCACCTCCTTTCCAACTGCAAGGCTGCCAGTGATATCCCAGGGTGAGATTTACCAGCATGATCCTCAATGACACAATTCCTACCAGAATGACAGAATAGTCCCTCTTACAGAAACTGAAACTATGATTTGGTTAGTGTGCACTGTAGTGAACCATGCAAGAATGTTTTAGCCCCTTCTGTACATCACCCAGAAGGTGCACTTGAGTTCTCAGACCCTGGAAGAACTAAATTAAAAAAAAAAAGCTTCAGTTAAATTATCTTCCTCAGGGAGGCAGGAGAGACAAACTTGGAAAACTTAGAAATTGTGGTAAGGATGAATGTCAACTATATTTCAACATCAGAATGATCAGTATATTTCAAACTTCATACAATGAGACTCATTAAATTGACTGATGTAGGTATATCCATTAAATGTCTACAATTTCTAGCTGGTAAAAAGAAAATGATAAATCCCAGGGATCAGTTTATTCAGCAATAACACAATAGATACATCAAATTCAGTCAGAGGGATAGAGTAATAACAAGTTATGCTGAGGGATGCTCCCAAGAGTTGTTCTTAGACCATTAACTAAACAATTTAAGTTGAACATGAAAAACATTCTCCAACTTCCAGATTAGAAGTGAAAGGGAAATGTGTCCAGGGGCTACAGCAAAGGCAGATTTGGAAGAGACATTAGTTTATGTTCCAGACTTTTCATTGGGAAGTTTCTGAAACTTCCTTCTCAGACCTACATAAATCATCATGCGAGGTAAACCTCTGGAGGCATTTCTCTTGACTTTTTAAGGACTCATTATTTTTTCATGTAAAGTATTTACAGCCCCACAAATAATGCCCAATACCTGTTCACTGACAGTTGACAGAAAGAAAGCAGAATCTTGTCAGACACATTATTTAAAACCAGTAATAGAAAGAATGGATTAAAAAGACATAGCTCTTTCAGTATAGGATGGTCTTTCTGCAGTGGTAGCGATCATCAATTATCCCGAGCACTCACTTTACATTCTAGGCCAGCCCATCCAAACAAACACTGTAACCCAACTAGCCAGAGACAATGTGAAAATATGAGGGAAAATACAGGAGATGGGGGACACTTTTCTATTTCATTATATCTTTACTTTTTCAAAAAGTGAGATTTGGCTGCTGCCTATGTGCCATAACATGTCAGGCTGCTATAACAAAATACTATGGACTGGGTGACTTGAACAACAGAAATTCATTTCTCATAGTTCTGGAGGCTGGGAATTCTAAGATCCAAGTGCCGGGCAATTTGGTTCTGATGAAGACTCTCTTCCTGGCTTGCAAAGAGCAACCTACTTGCTGTGTCCTCACATGGCAGAGAGAAAGAGAGAACTTCCTTCTACTGTTTCTCCTTCTGAAGGTGCTAATCCCATTTATGAGCACTCCACCCTCATGACCTAATTACCTCCCAAAGGCCCACCTCCAAGTACCATCACACTGAGGATTAGGGCTTAAACAAATGAATTTGTTGGGGGGAAGACAGGGGAAGATATTCAGTCCAGAGAGATACCCAGTTTTTGACATTAATAATCACATTGCTGTTGTTAATCAGTTGTTAAATTGTGTACAACTCTTTGTGATCCCATGAACTGCAGCACACCAGGCTTCCCTGTCCTTCATTATCTCCCTGAGTTTGCTCAAACTCATGTCCACTGAGTTGGTGATGCTATCCAACCATCTCATCCTCTGTCACCACTTTCTCCTCTTGCCATTAATCTTTCCCAGCATCAGTCTTTTCTGGTTAGTAGGCTCTTTGCATCAGGTGACCAAAGTATTGGAGCTTCAGCTTCAGCAACTGTCCTTCCAATGAATATTCAGTGTTGTTTTCCTTTAGGATTGGCTGGTTTGATATCCTTCTGTCCAAGGGGCTCTCAAGAGTCTTCTCTAGCACCACAATTCAAAAGCATCAATTCTTTGATTCTCAGCCTTCTTTATGGTCCAACTCTCACATCCAAACATTACTACTGGAGAAACCATAGATGTGACTATATGGACCTTTGTTGGCAAAGTGATGTCTCTACTTTTTAATGCACTGTCTAGGTTTGTCATAGCTTTAATAACCACATATCAAGGTTAAATGCATAGGTCCTTCCCTTCTTGGGTCCCCATCCCAAATATATTTCACTCTAGAGAGGACATTTGCTGACTAGGATCCATTCAGCCTCTTCTTAGTGGTTATACCCCATTTTGTCTCTGGGGTCTACTTCTTTCCCCATTTTCAAACAGTGGGATTGGTTCAGAAATGTGTGTGATGAATTCAGCTGTTATTAGCTGGAGTTAGGACTTCTGAATGTGAGACAAAAAAAAAGTAAGCTAAAGAAACAAAAAATATGTTTGTATATGTAAGAATCTGTCAAGTGTATTAACATATACATGTACACATAGCTTGTTCACTTCACTATACAGACATTTGACATTTGTATTAATTTTTTTACCAAGAACATGTTACTTTCAGAATTAAAAAAAAACTGAATTAAACTACAAGAAAGAAAAACAAATATCAAAGTAATATATTAATGCATATATATGGAATCTAGAAAAAATGGTATTGATGAACTTATTTGCAGGACCGGAATAGACATACAGAAGAGACTTGTAGACACAGTGGCAGAAGGAGAGGGTGGGACAAATTGAAAGAGAAGTATTGGCATATATACACTACCATGTGTAAAAGATGTACTAGTGGGAAGCTGCTGAATAACAGGGCGCTCAGTTCAGTGCTCTGTGATGACCTAGATGGGTAGATGGAAGGGGTGGGAGGGAGGTTTCAGAGGGGGGAGATATATATATATATACTTAGAGCTGATTCACACTATTGTATGGAAGAAACTCACACAACACTATAAAGCTATTGTCCTTCAATTAAAAATGAAAATTTAAAAAATAGAGTAGAATAAGATATTTCCCAAATATTTTCTTCCTTTAGCCTTGCTTTCACAGCAACTCTTCATCTTTTTAGTTTTAGAAAATTATCAAGCATCCATATCTGTGTGTGTGTTCAGTCACTCAGTTGTGTCTGATTCTTTTGCGACCGTATTGACTGTAGCCTGCCAGACTCCTCTGTCCATGGGATTCTTCAGGCAAGAATACTGGAGTGGGTTGCCATGCCCTTCTCCAGGGGATCTTCCTGACCCAGGAATTGAACCCGTGTCTCCTTCATTGGCAGGAGGATTCTTTACACTGAGGCATCAGGGCAGTCATCATGCACAATGCTCCATAAATCTGACTATATTTTTATATAATTTACTTTCATTAGCTCAATAATATTTATAAGCCTCTTTCTATGGCAATAAATTTGAATCTACTAAACAATTTTTAATGGCACCACAATCTCTTTTTATCTTCATATCAAATTTTATTTTGCTGGGTCCATTATTACCCATTTTTAGACATTTGGTTGTTTCAGATTTTCCCCTTATAAACAAAACTGCACTGAGCATCTTTATACAAACCTCTCTCCCCAGCTGAGTGATTATTCCTTAGGTGAAATATCCAGATATGGGATACTTCTGTCAAAGGACATACATTAATTTTTCTTTTTCAACATACTACCAGTCTGCCTGTCAGAAAGAGTATACCAATTTTCATCTCTAACAATGGTGTGAAGGCTGTATTTTCCTCATATTCTTGCCAAAATTAATTTTTATCAATTAAAAAAATAAACCTTTGACAATCTGATCGACTCATTTTAAATTGTAGCTGGTTGTTAGAATTTTAAAAAAGATTCCCTTCAAAGCAAGGCGGCAGCACTGATTAGCACTCCTTTGTCTATTTATATCATGTAACAAAATTCCTCTGATTGAATAGGCTTCATAATAACTTCCTTCTTGGGGCACTTAAGTGAAAATGTGTGGGCAAATTCAACCTTGTGTTTCACATGCAAAAATCTCCTGAAGACATGTTTCAGAAGGAGAATCTACATTAAGTTCTACTGCAGGGGTCCCCAACCTTCAGGATCTAAAGCATGATGATCTAAGGTGGAGATGATGTAATAAAAATAGAGATAAACTACACAATAAATGTAATGTGCTTGAATCATCCCAAAACTATCTCCCACCCTCTGGTCCATGGAAAACTTGTCTTCCATGAAACTGGTCCCCTGTGCCAAAAAGACTACTGGCCAAGCTGACAGAAGCAACCAATTTGGTCGTTAAACCTCATTGCCCCAGTCTGGCCCAGAGTAGTCAACTACCGAGGGAATAGATTTATTGGTCAATTTTGAAAAAAATAAAGAACAAACTCTACCCCAAAACCAATAAGAGTAGTAACAATAATAACAACAAATGTCAAAATAGTTGATATAGTATTCAATATAAATAACCTTGAATCTACTTCCTTCCCACTCAGGGTCAATGAAAAATAACTTGAATCAACATTTTATTTATCTAGTACAGTATGCAACATTTGTTTTATTTCCATTAATTCACAGTTTGTGAGCCTTCGGCGGGGACTCAGGTTTAAAATAATATTTGCTTAGGAAAACTTTTCTTCAGGAAAAAGAAGCAAGTTAATAATGCAAACAAGACTAGGGGAATATTTAAACTTCATAAGAGGACAATCTATCTTTAAAAGTTTTAAAAGCTCATGGTAACCACTCCTATGCTAATTAAACAGCTTAATATGGTCAGCAAATCATGTTTTTTACAGACTTCTTTGATACTATGTTTTTCATTTGGTGTTACTTATTATAATTATTAGAAAGTAAGAAAAAATCATATCTGTTTTTATTTATTTTGAATTGATATTAACTGTACT